TCTGTATTTTGATTTGCATTTTAATCAGATTTTCATTCGAATTTGGATTTGCATTTTATATCCATGTTGATTTGCAAATCAGCTGTGCTTATATTTTCTCTTTTCTTTTTCTGTTTAGCTCAGTCCCTATTAGTCCTCGTTTTAGCCACTGCCGTCTGGAGTACTATGTCTGACAATATGATAATTTTTATATGTTTGTATGTAATTAGTTAAGAGGTTCCACGAACAAGCCGTATGATTACATGGAAGCCCGCACGCGAACATTTTAATGTAGATACTACTGGGACTACTATATATGTGCTATTCACTCTTACTAGTGTTATTGCTACTACTTCAACTACTGCTTTTATTACACTACTTCTACTACTGCTACTGCTACTTCTACCGTAAACAAACACATATATATCTTGGTAAAATAACGTTTTTTTGTTAATAATGAATATGTTAACGATAAAACAAATACAGTTATCGTGGAAACACTGCTTTAGCTCTATAGGAATTAAAGTCCGTGTCCCAGGCCTTAGCAATGTTAAATCCAGCACTGTCAGATCTTTACCTAGGGCCTTTTGCGTCGTTCTTTTCATTTCTTGAGAACATTATCGGTAGCTGGCACGAAAAAGTGGCGTCCCCCTCCACTTTTTAGTAGCGCCAGGAAAAAGTAGCAGCCGCTGTTCAGGGGAAATTGGGGGATTAGGAAGTATTTAATCTCAGGTGATTCAGCTTTTCCTCTTCTTGAAGCACCGCGTAAGAGTCTGACGACGATTTTGAAAGCACAATAGCTCATGGTCTCTCATGGTGATTGTGTGTTTATTTATTTATGCATTATTTGTACTGTTTTATTTATGCGTATATATATATACATATATATATATATATATATATATATATATATATATATATATATATATATATATATATATTTATATATATATATGTATATATATATATATATATATATATATATATATATATATATATATGTTTATATATATATATATATTTATATATTTATATATATATATATATATATATATATATATATATATATATATATATATATATATATATATATATGTGTGTGTGTGTGTGTGTGTGTGTGTGTGTATGTGTGTGTGTGTGTGTGTGTGTGTGTGTGTGTGTGTGTGTGTGTGTGTGTGTGTGTGTGTGTGTGTATGTGTGTGTGTGTGTGTGTGTGTGTGTGTGTGTGTGTGTGTGTGTGTGTGTGTGCGTGTGTGTTTATGTGCGTATGCACTGCTTTAATAGTTGGCTTATTTATCTTTGTCTGAATAAACTCCACCAGCACCATTTCCACCCCAGACTCTCTCCCGCCTCGGCGTGAAAGATCTCTTCAGCGAGCGCGCAAACCTCTCCGTGTTTTCCCCCGAAGGCAACCTGAGGGTGGGTCACGCAGCCCACAAGTCAGTCATGGAGGTGGACGAGGGCGGCACCGACAGCTCCGTCTCCCCCTCAGCCAAGAACTTCGTCGATCCGCTCGCCAGAGGACGACCGGCAGGAGAGTTAGGCCCGCTGAGGAACCGGGTGTTCGTGTGCAACCGGCCCTTCGCATTCCTCCTGAGGGACACCCGGGCTGGGAGGCTGCTGTTCATGGGCGCCCTCAAGGATGCTCCACTGTGAGGGGCGGCCGGCGAGAGGGGGATGGCGAAGCAGGTTGAACGAAGCAAGAAATACAGTGAAGACAGAAGACAGAGAAACCTTGATATTAGGAACACGAGAGCAATGTCTCGAAAGCATGGCGCCTCCGTCCCTATTCTTGGGTAAGACGTAAAAGTGGCCCATATGTATACGTATGTTAAATACGTATTGTTCATATATGCACATCTGCGTATGTCCATATATGCATGTAAATATCTACACGAAGTATTTTTCTTCATTGTTTGACAAGGCCCGGTGTTGTGACTGTTCCGGATAATAACTGTTTTTACTTTATTCCCTCCGGTATTACATTGCATTATTATTAAATTATTTGCTTTATATCACTGTTGAGTGTTGGATGTATATGTATACACACATTTATACACACACACACACACACACACACACACACACACACACACACACACACACACACATACACACACACACACACACACGTAAATATATGTGCGTGTGTGTGTGTGTGTGTGTGTGTGTGTGTGTAACGTATTCTATATGTATTTATAGGAAAGTACCCACAATTTGCTTCATTTAACATAGCTAATTTTAAATCAGTTAATGTTACTTGAAAGAATATTTACAGTTACAAATTATGTAACCTTCCATATATGTGCATAGACATGCACTTCGTATCTTAATGTTGGGCATTAAAGTGTTCCATAAATTAAAACGTTGTTTGAATCTTTCTTTGGTCGACGTCACATCCATAACTCCCAAGGATGAAGAACAGCAGTCACTATAATTGACACGTAACACAATTAAGATGTCATTGTTGAAAATATCTTTATCTACGTTGAGGTATTTTTCTATTTCCTGCCAAGAGAGA